CCAGGTGCGGGCCTCGGGGCAGCTGCGGGGGCTGGCGTGCTCTAGATCAGCGCTACTCAGCCCCTAAAAAGTGGGTCGCGAGAATATATGAAAGGGTTAAACATGGATGCTCCTTTGAAGGAGAAAAACGTGGCTTTTCCCTGGCAGGCAGGCAGGCAGAGCTGCAGCCTGCGCGGGGCTTGTTGGGGTCTGGTGCCCTACACACTGGGGGCAGCGGGCTGGCAGTGCGGGGCACTGGGTCAGGCCGACCACTGATGTTTGCAAACGGGCCCTGGTCCAAAAAAGGCTGAGAACCGCTGCTCTAGATATTCACGGAGCCCCCCCGCCCCTTTCCTGCAAGATGGGAAGCGTGAGGGGAGGCGCGCTCTCCGTCCCGGCAGGAACGTGTGTCCTCGGAGGGCTTTGGAGCCAGGCATGGACCGTGTTAAGCTCTGGGGGGTTTCTGCTGTGGGTGGGCTTGCTTTTACCCAGAAGTACAGGCCTGTCTGTTGCCTTAGGCTTGGGGTGAGGTCACACAGCCACCTCTTAATGACTTTGGGGACACTAAAAGAACAGGCACAGGAGGGAGGTTGGAGGCAATGAGCAGGGAGCACCCAGCAGAGAACCGCTGACGGGCCTGGCATTCACTCTTCAAAGGAGTCCAAGGAGCTGGTAGATGCCTCCCAGAGAAGTGAGGCAACAGAAAGAAGCCCCATGGTCACAAAGCAGCCCCCTCCCATCTCCCATACCAGCCCTCCTCCTTCCCTGTTGTGGAAAGCTGGGGCCGGATTAACCCTTTAGTGGGCCCTAGGCAAACAAACTCTTGGGCACCAATTTTTTTCACTCAATAATTATAATATGTTAGGGCACCTTCTTCACTTAGGGCCCTATGCACGTGCCTAGTTTGCATGTACCTTAGTTCAGCTCTGGGGCCAGGAAGAAGTATGGTAAGGAGGTCTTGTGATTTAATGGGGAGCATATAGATAAAAATATGGGAGGAAGTGCAGCCAGGAGCTTGATTCTGGAGGAACTGAAACCACAGCAGTAACCTGATGCTCTACAAAGACATGTGCTAGACTCTGCCTCGCTGTACAAGCACCTGTGTCCATGGCTGTGTGCTGGAACTACCGCTCTACGTTCCCAGCAGGCTTCAGAACTAGAGGTGCAAAGTGGTGACCAAGTCACGGGGTGGTGAAGTTATAGGTTACACTTAGACCATATTCAATCTTAAGTGGTGTTAAACTTTGAACCTTCTGTGAGCAGTCATGTTAAGGGTCGGTACTGTTTTCCCCATGCACAGTTCTGACTTGCTACTAGAAGGCTGGCAACCAGGGGCAAGCCAAGACTCTATGCCTGCTGGGGGGAGCAGTGCATACTAGGATGCTAGAGGACTACAACTGCTCATTTTATCTTTGTGGAATAGACTGAAGTTACCCCAACACGAGCTAGGTATCATGGGTCAGCGTTAACCCGCACCTGAAGTGGCATAACTTTGAGATGTTCAAAGGGCACTTAGCATGAGTTAATGAGCTTTAATGCATGGATGCTTGTATTTTAAGTGACTAAGCGTAACATGTAACTTCACCTCCTAGGCTTGTAGGAAGAGAAGGTTTCATGGTTAAGGTAGGTGAATGCTGCAGTAGAGCATTTTCCCTCCTTGCCACAGAGTTTCTAAGCAAGTTATTTATGACCAAATATTTCACAAGTGATCACTCTTGTTCCTCATCTTGTGTAAGCCTGATTTGAAACTCTCCACAGTTTGATTTTGAGAAGTATTGAGCTACCCAGCTATGGCTAACGCCAGTTGGAGCTGTGCTTTCAACATAAACTGTGCTATATATTAGTAGGAATTTAGAAAGATCTTGGGTATCTCAAATTGTGCGTCCAAAATTAGTGCATACTTGTCACCTGTTCCTCAGCTCTCCACCTGAAAATGGTGGGATATTTCCCTATTGCACAGCAGTCCTGCCAATATTAAATGCACTGATGCTTGAAATACTCATAGTGAGGAGCACCACAGAAAAACCCACAAGGAGATGGATAAGGATATGGATATGGATGGAGATGGATAATTCTTTCTTCAGAGCAGTGTGTGGCTGAAATATGACAAACGAGGAGAAACAAGGAAGAGAAAAACATTGAATTGTTGCTTGTTAGATGAGCACTGGTCATCCATTCATGGAAGTGGGGAAGTAGGATTCATAGATTCATAGATGTTAGGGTCAGAAGGGACCTCAATAGATCATCGAGTCCGACCCCCTGCATAAGCAGGAAAGAG